TGATTTTGTTGGAGTTGTTTAGCCATGTGTTTTTAAAACATGGAAAAACCCTACATCCTTCATATTTCATGGCAACGAGGAGACAGAATATCAAAGGCTGAGAAGGAGCATGTGCTGCTCTGAATGTGAATCTTGAGGAGCTGAGTAAGTCCCCGTCCTCAGCAGTTTGACATAGTAATCTTCCCTGGAAGTAATCTCCTTGTCCCATGTGTCCTGCTTTAATCTATCAGTATTTCTGCAGTGTGCAGCAAGAAATTGATTTTCAGTAATTTTAATGGCTGAATAACTGGTGCTGTCCCAGAGTGTTTTTTCATATTTGCAGTGGCCAATGTGGTAACTGAGGGCAGTGTTCTGGATAATGGGTTTCATTAGCTCTGATGCCTGAGGTAAAAAAGCAGTAGGTGGGAATAAAGCCTTGTTTTTGATGTCTAGACGTTCATTTCAGCTGTTGCTGCAATATGATACATTAAAAGGAAATATGTAACATAGCTCTGAGGAAATATGTATTCTTTGAAACTAATTCTGCTTTTAAACTGCACAAGGCAGTGTGACCTGAATTATTAAAATGTGGGTGGCTGGATTTCTTAAAGGTATAACTGTCTCTGCAGCGCCGACACAGCCTCGACTTGCCTCCTCTCCTTCCTTCCTATATTTCTTTTAAGTAAAATATGTCAGTTTGGCCACTGAAGCAGAACAGAGATCTTATTATCTTTCCAGTATCTCTGCTGGGAGACCTAAAATTATTGAAGTATTTGCTTTGATATTTTGCTGTGACTTCTCTCCTTGAAATTTTTATAATGGATCTTTTTTTTTTTTGAGAACATGGCTGGCTTCATAAAAATCGTTGGACACTTTGAAGACCTTAATATCTCTGACTTGAAAATAAAAAAGATCCCAAGCCAACTAAGCTGCTCATTAATGTATGTTTAAATTATAAATTTCCTGTGTAAGCCTAAATTATTGTAGTTGCCTTTCATTCTTTTAACATCTGATCTGCAAGAATAAACATAAAAATCAGCACAAACGTTTTATTCATTTTTTGAACCTAGGAAAACAAAATCATAACAAACGCCTGAAAACTTTATATATGAAAGCTGTTGATTAATTCCTATTGTGTTTGAACACCAGCAGCGAGATTAGCACCTCCGCTGTAATCCATTATAAATGTCAGGTACACGTTTTCCTTGTTTTGGATTTTCTGCTATTCTTGATATTTTTTTCTGAGAATCCAGATTTTTAGAGACAGAATGTTAATAGACTTAGTGGTTTATTTTGGGAGATGATTTCATTAAAAAATTTTAACAAAACATAACTACGAAAGCAGTTGCTTCTTTTGGTGAGAAATGACGTGGTGAAGTTCTCCCTGTGTTGCGGGGCAGCGAGAAGAGGATGAGCTGCCTGTTAAAGTAAAAGCTTCTCCCAGGTGTCATCCTTCTCCAGAGTGTACAGAGGCTTGGATAGGGTAGTTAACATATACAGAAATATATACATATATACACGCAGAGCTATAGCTACACAAACCTGTCCCAGTGGAGGAGCAGTCACCTGACAGGTCACTCTGGTGAGAAGGAGCCTGGGCTCCTGGAGGTCACCCAGCCTGACACCTGCCCAGGTTGGGATTGCTGCAAACAGGGGTCACATTAGCCATGGCTTTGTCTCCCCAGGGCATGGCAAGCAGTGACCCACGGTTTGTCCCCTCTGCTTTGTTGCCTCTCGTCCTCTGCTCTGACTTCCATGGAGGAAAATGTAGTTTGTGCTCTGCTGTGCTTTCTCTCACGAAAACCTTCCATCTGTCCTTGATTGTCCCCCTAGAAGTTCTCTGTTTTGGAAGATGCCTTTCACAGCTGTTGTTCAGTGTCTAAAGAGAAATATTCAACTGAAGTAAAAGAAAAGTCTCCAGCACAGGCCAGAGGTGTTCCCATGTTTTGGAACCTGTGCAGCACCTGTGTTCTGCTGGCTGTGCCTGGAAATGCTATTAGGATTATGGGAAAGCTCAGGGGGGCTGGAGTTGAACGTTTTGAGTGTTAGAAGCATTAGAAATCATCATGTAGACAGACAGAGACTATTTCCAAGGCATCAATTTGCTATAAGGAATTTAAAATACTCTTCAAAATCTAAAATCTAGTTAAATTATAAGTGTCAGGAACTTTGGAATGTACAGGGATAGTCTAATTTTTAGTGTTTTGCCAAGCTTTTTTTATTGGTCACCATATGCATCCTGAAGTTGTAACTTGCTCCAGTCATTTCAACACTTTTCTTGTGGAGCCTGGATCAGGAAGCCAAAGAGCAGAGGAAGTGAAATGCTGCACTTCTAATTTTTCCTCCTCGTTTTTATGGCATCAGACATATGTACATGCTCTTAATTTTAAGATGTACTTTTTTAGTAGGATAAAGAAGCATTAGAGATAATTACAGTAAGTATAGTGCTTTAATATATCTGGGAATTAGAGGCATTATTTATTACAGGAAAATGGTTATGGCAATGTCTTAAGATATCCTTAGAGTTGAATTTAATAGGGAAGTAATTTTATTTCCATTTCATATATAATTTATGTGAATTCTGTGTACTAAGAAAGGCAGTTTCGAAAATTAGAATATTGAGGGTTGATACCACTCTAGATTTTCCCCTTTTCCCTGTCCCACGCCACTGCTGCTCCTCAGCCAGTTTGACCTCATGGCACACTTGACCCTCGGGACTTGGCTGCAAGGTTAACATTGCTTTTCCCTCATTTTCTTTGGATTTTGGACACCTTCCTCCCAGCCATTCCTCCTCCTGAGTGCAGGACAGCCATGGATGCAGCTGTGGTGGTGGGTAGGGAGGGGGAGTGCTGCCAGTTTCCATTCCCTCATCCAGTCCCTCCTGCTGGGATGTGTAGTGCTTTCATGTCTGGGATTGTGGAGGAATAACAGGCTGGGGTAGCCCAGGGAAACAGAGCAGGGAAAAAGAATACAGGTGATGTCCAGACACAAAAGAATTCTGGATTAAAATTATCCCTACTCTGCAGAATATTACAGTCAATGGTATAAAGCAGTGTGATCTGATCTGAATTGTTCTGAAATGGTGAAATTACGCTTGCAGAAAATAGTTCTGAGAGAAGAAATTGTGAGAGGATCCCGTTAGTCTGCTGTGTATACCTGGGAGTAGGTAGGGAGTTAGGACTGAGAACTTCAGAACTGGTGGTGGGAACTTTCCTGTAAAATCTTGATTCCTGTAAAAACTTGATTCTTGTCTCCCCTATTTTGCATGAAGTTCCTAAAGCAGGGACAATACTGGCAGTACAGCCTAGGATAGTGTGAAACTTGACAAGAGCTCACTGCCGTGTAAGAGTAAATTTATTTTGACTTTTACAGGTTCTGTCAACTTCATGATGTTGTCCAAAAATTTGGCTTTTAATTTAAATACTGAATTTTCATGCAGGTGTGATCTTTCATAGTGTAACTAATCTGTAGCTTTTCATATATTTGAGGATTATGTAATTTTTAAAGTGCAAGACTGTACCTGCCTTGCAGCTTCCGGGGTTTCAGTAGTTCTGTGCGGTTGAGAATTTATACATCAATAGTTCTGGCCATGCACGGGGGTTCTGAGTTCTTTAAGCACAGTGTTTTAGCCACGAAAGCCGAGGCCATGCAGAGTTCTGTGCAGTAAATAGCCATGGCCCATTACATCCCTGGTGGCAGGGAGGGCTTGCAGGCATTAAAGGGCCTGCAGAGGTTTCTAAGGAAAAGCTCCTTGGCTGCTGCTTGTGCCCACGGGCACAGTTCTATGTCTGCATTCTCCTGGCAAGTCCTGTGCTGTCCGATAAGGTGATTTAGGTACTAAAACCTGGCTTTTCCATTCTGCACGAAGAGAGAGGCTCTGTTACCGACATTTCCATATCACAACATTGCACATGCAAAAAATGTGCCTTTTCTTGTCTGAATGTGTGAGTTACAGCTCCTGGAGAAGCAGCAGAACAGTGGCTCGAGGCTTTGAAGGCTGCTGGCAATATTAGTGTTTTCCAGGAGCACTAACTCCTTAGGAGCTCGCCTTTAAACATGGTTGTAAACTCTCCTGAGATAATCATCTCTGAGCGATAGACGCGCTGCTGGGAGGTCTCGTCCTGCAAATTGGCCAGGGAGGAGTGTGAAGTGTTCAGTGCTTAACGTGCAGCAGAATTTCATGTTTGCACTTTTAAAGATCTGCCGACTACTCCTGTATAATTGAAATGACAGAACTCAGACAATTAACGAATTCTTACTCCTTGAAAAAAGTTGTTTTATCATCTGTTTTCACTCTGAGTCTTCTGGCTGAGTTAAGATTTAGAAACTGGTACAGGCATACCAGAAATAGTGTTACTCCTGGTAGTTTTAGAACCCAAAAGCCATGAGTAAGGACAGCAGATATTTCTGAGGTTTGTCTGTCCTTCAGGTGACTAATTTAGGCTGCTCTCTACTATGAGAGATAATTAGACTTACTTTTTTAAACTCTAAAATCTCTGCAGTGTGATACTGAGTGTACAGTTTTTATTTTGGTATAAAATCTGCTGTGTATTGCTAAAACTGTAATAGCTGAAGTCAGTATGTGAAGGAATTGCACTTGAGTGTGACAGCGAGAGGTTCAGGGGAGTTGTTTCATGTTGTTTCAGTTATGTAAATTGATTTTACACCTTTAATGATTCACTTTGTTTCTTGATTGTCGGCATCTGTGGTTAAGTTTTAAAGGATCTCTCAGCAGTGGTGGCAAAGAATGATCGTGCATTCCTCACCCCTGTACTTGCATATTGAATGCTACAAACAAATGGGTTTGCTTTTATGCTTTTGTGTTTGCTTTTTTTTTTTTTTTTAATTCAAAGGCTGCGTCTTCGTCAAGTAAAGATTAAAGCTGCTTGGGTGATATAGATAGTAGTTGAAATAGTTCAATGAAACATACTACTTTGAAAATTAAAGCTGTTTAAGATATGTTTTGGATAAATGTTTGTATTTCTCTATTCTGAGCGTGTTGACATTTTGTGTTTTTGTAGTGGTGGAAGAAGGATTCTGGGAGAATGGACTTTCCTATGAGTGTAGGACCCTGCTCTTCAAAGCAATTCATAATCTTCTGGAAAGGTAAGAAAAACTCTAGTGCTCTCAAATATTTCATTTTGATATTTAAAATCATACAGGATACCTACAGAGCAATTATATTATTGTGGATATTAAACTACATTTTTCTAGAGCTGGACCTTGAATCCAAGAAAACAGGATAGAGATGGATCTCTTAAGTCATTAACTCTGGTAATTTGTCATAAAATGCTGTGCAAACGAATTAAACACTGATAATAAACAATAATGTTGATACATATTTCTGTTCGGAATTTTGCTAAGGAGCTGTTTTAAAAGCCAGAAAAGGGAAGTTTTCACCTTCTGGAAGTGCTTAGAGAGTGTAATTGTATCTGACCTTCAGTGCCTTGATGAGGTTAAATGATACATATCTTAAAAGCTCTTAACTCTCTTCTCTCAATTATCCTGGTTATGAGCATGTTAAAATTTGACTACATTTGTGCACAATATTCAGGGTGAAGCTTAACAGTTCCTGGCTCTGATGAGCCATATATATTATATATTATTTATTTTTATATATATATGACTTGACTGCAGAGTTATTCTGTGATTAGTTAATACACTTATGCCTTTTTCTTCTTAATCCAGCTATCAGTTTTTAAGATTACTGAAGATTATCTTGTTCTTAGGCCCGTTGAGTGGGACATGGCATCTTGGGCTATATAATTTTATTCTTTCTGTTTCTGCAGTTCTTCAGGTCATCATCACCTTTCTGTATTACATCCTAGTTCTTACAAATTTGGATATCTTCTTAGAATTAAATGTCATTAGACTATTTCCACTTTCTCTGAGATTATAATAATAATAATAACAACAAAATAGAATGCACCTTTGTGTTGCAGTAATTTTGTAGAATACAGCCTTGGATATTTTTTCTTTCAGAAAATAAGCACATGGAAAACACTTTCATCTTGTCTCATTTAGTGTCCTGCTTGCTTTGATGTAGATTTACTGGTAATGAGGTTTGCATTATGTTCCCGAGGCTGTGTTTCCATGGGGTGACCGAGTTACCTGTGTGCATATCTGCAGGTACAAGGATTAGTTGTTGTATTTTATGTTTTCTATATCCCATCAGTCTCTTTTCGGAGATTTTTATAAAAGCTGTAGGCTACTTAGAATAAATGAAATATAAAAATTAAATTCTAAGTCTAGAATGTTCATTAGTCCTTTTGTAGCTTTATAATATAAAAGGGAAAATTAATTTGATATGTGTTTATTAATCTGTGGTACCCAGCCAGCTGACTTTTAAGTGTAAAGTGGCTAATTTTATTCTTTGGACCTCTTTAAACTTGTGAAATAAATTTAGGGGTCTTTTTATATAACTTAATTGAAAGCAGTGGGCAGAGTCAGCAGAACTGCTCTGTCCAGCTGTGACTGCAAAGTCTTTTTCTTCCTGCAGTAATTGGTGAACGCACCTCAGGTGTTTGCCGAGAGCCTCGGTTCATGTCCTGATAAACTGAAACAATTCATGTCACGACAAGCTGATATGATTAATGTTGAGATAAGATGATATGATTAATGTTGTGATGATATGATTAATGTTGTGATAAGCTGATATGATTAGTGTCATGATAAGCTGATACAACTGCTGCAGTCTCAGCCTTGGACATGAGCATCTTCTCACTGCTCTGCTAACTACAGTTTTTACAGTTTCATAGTTCAATTTACTTCAAGTTACTCACTTTTTATGTCTCTTTTGTCTGCCAAATCTGAACTTAATATCATAATTACTTCATTTAAAGTAATAGCAACATGTGCTCAGGCTTTATTAAATAGCAGTGTTTAGGAAAAGCCTCGTAATAAAGGAGAAGGCTCGGTTCCGTTTCTGGCCCCTCAGTGCGGGGCTGGTGTGGGCAGTTGTGGATTAGTGGGGTTCGGGGTTCGGGGTTTGGGGTTTAGGTTTTATTTCATGTTGATTTTGCGGGAGACTGAGGGGAATCGGCCGTGGTGGGAAGGAAATGGCGGGAGGAGGAGCCGTGAGGGGGAGCGGCCCCTCATGGAGGAGCCTGAGGGACCTGTGGGGACAAAACGGGGCAGGAAGGGAACAGTAGGGTCTGCTTTTACCTAACCCCGGCAAAGGCAAGAAACAGGGTCTTTACACGAATGATTGTGGGGTTTTTGATTTTTTTTTTTAATTTTTTTCCCCCCTCTGTACCCACACTAACTCAGTTTATGTTAATTGACAGTATAGAAAACATTACAAGATTTCAGGGATGAGTACTCAAAGTATTACGGTGTCATTTCGTAACGATTGGTGTGCCCTTGGCAGGTAATTTTTTCATGGATAAATCAGGAATTCAGGAGGTCTGGCAGCAGTGAAGTGCTGGAACAGCTGCACTGCTGAGGGAGGGATGGCCCAGCCCTGAGGAGGGAGAAAAGCCAGGGCCTGCGGGGTGTTTCATGTCCTTATATCATTAAATAACTGCTTTTTATGACCATATATTGGGGTTTTTTTAACACAAGTCCATTGTTACAGCTCTCTGTGAAAGACTAGTTACCTTTAGTGCTTATACAGCAAAAATAACCATACTATCATTAACTGCCCACCCGGCCGCATCTGAGATCCGTGCTGCTGTAGGCATGGCTCTGATTTTATATGGGATTATTCCTTAAATAACCCGTGATTTAGTTTAGCATGGAGGGTTGACTGATTTTTAAGGACAAATCTTCCCATGAAGACTTTTTCTAGGAAAGCAGCATTAGTTTGAGGCAGTTAAAACCTGCTGTGGTGAGACACAGCAATGTGGTATTGAAGTGTGTGTGATGGGAAGAGTTTATTACATTTTTTTTGCTACTACAGATTATTTTCTTTAGGGATCTGATGTAAACTTCACAGACTTCCTTTTGTTTGTATAAAACATGCTGGCACTGACAGACTCTCTGATAGCAAATATTTCCTAGGGAAATAGTTGCTAAAGCTTCCCACCCCCCACCAATGTTTTTAGATCTCTGCTGCCTTAGCTTTCATATTCAGTTTAAGATATTGGTTATTCAACTGAAATGGATTATTTTTGCTTTAATTGAGAAAGTGCTGGTAGAATTTTCTTCAGCTTTGACTTTGGAAAATCCTACCAAGTTTATACAGAAAAATTAGGAGCATATTAGTATTTACATTGTCAGTCGTCCATTTCCTATCTGTGTCTTCTAGGTATGCTTTTGAAGTGTAGATCACACAGCTTTTTTGAACCTTGCAGAATGTACTTGCCCAGAAACTTTCATGTGATTTAAATTTTATTTCCCTTTGTTTTGGCTCTCTAGCAGCTGCTATAGAAATAAACTATTGGAAAACTTGGGAGAGTGGAAAAATTCAGTTCTTCCATCTACATAAAAAATACTGAGTAGATGTGAAATGTATGGGCAAGGCTTGCATATTACTTGTAATGGTGTATAAACCTCTAGCAACAAATAACCAGTTTTACAGAATTTTTGAAGCATATTATTTACCTTACTGAAAAATATGCCTTAATTATGAATTTCTGTGTGTGGTCCCTTGGGCAGCGTGATCCAGTACATGTTTAATGTATGAGGCATACTCAGGGTTGGCAAATTGCTTCTGTGATTCATCTGCACAGGTGGACCTAGAAAGGCACCAGGCACTCCCTAACTTATCCATTTAAATTGGGTATTGATCACTTTGAATCCTCACTGTTGGGGTTTTTTCAAAGAGGAATATGTCATTTCTAAAAAGAAACTGGACTTTCAGAGGGACTACAGAAAATGGAACTTATTTTTCTAATTTTGGTGGTGTGGGAGTATATTTGATGGAATGAGGTTTTCTGACAGAGGAAGCAGTAATTATGGGCGTTTCAGCACCTGAAATCATGCTGGGGATCATATGAAGGGAAAATTGAATCACTGTTAATATTTCCTTAACACAATTTTCTGTCATTCCTATACTATACCATTTACGTGCCAAAAATAAGGGAATTCATATTCTTTATCACCTAAAGTCTGAAAGACTTTATAGAAAAGAATCAGTACTAATGAATGGCCTTTGTTCGAGGAGAGGAGGTGAAAAATAGAATGAGGGATCAGTCAGCAAAAAGAGTGGCATAGAGTGGAAAAGACTGTGACAAAGGTGAAGGGAAATGTGTGTGTGAAATTCAGCATCAGTGACAGCAGCATGAGATGGGATAGGGATTTCCTATTACTGATGTGGGAAAACAAGAAGTGGAACTCAAAACCTACAAACTTTTCTTTCAATCTGATTGAAATTCAGCTGCCTAATCCCTCAGAGTCACTGTCTTCAAAGACTCCTTTTAATTACGCTTTAAGATGTAAGTAGTAATTGTTGCTGTAATTGTTTTCTAGATGCCTGATGGATAAAAACTTCGTAAGAATTGGGAAGTGGTTCATACGGCCCTATGACAAGGATGAGAAGCCTGTTAATAAAAGGTAAGGAGATCTCAAGTCCCGCTCCTGTCAGTGTTGTGGATTGTGTCATGGTAATTGCATGCTGCATTTTGGTGGTATTTTTCTCACTTTTTTTGCCACGTAACAAGTAAAAACACAGATACTGTATTCACATCAGTCATACATAGAAAGCAATTAAGTAAGTTTTCAGGCCTTGTTATGGTAATTTAAGATAAGAAGGCAGGGTTGATATTTATCCATTAGCTCCACAGAAATGTCACATTTATTAATATCTTTTGAGCAGCATCTGCCTTTCCCTCTCATTATACAACAGAATTGCAGGCAGTTATAACAAATTATTTTAATTTCTGGACACTAAACCCCAACCTGACATTTTAAGCAGTAAAATAAGTAGTCTATAGATTTCCTGATTTATTTTCTTTAAAGATGCCACCCTCGATACACAGCTTTCCCTGCTCAGGCAGGCTGACAGATCAGACCTATAGGAGTGATTAATGTGCTTCTCCTGCAGCAGCACGGCCATGGAACAGGGGTAGCTGGCTCCACTGCTTGCTATTTCCTCTCTGAGCTCTAAAGGTTACAATGTTCTCAGATCTTCTGGTACTTGCATTTATAGTCATCCGCTAAACAAGTTCTGTCAAAAATAATCTGAGTTAAGCTGAAACACAGATTTTCTAACGGGAATCATTTTGACAGAACTGGGTTAGGAAGTGACTAAACACGCAGTTATGCTGGGAGATTTGAAGGTAATGAGCAGTGGAAGAGATGAAGTGGGGTGGCAACTTCATCCATCCAGCGTAGCTGCAGTCACACAGTGTCTGATGGCAGGGTGGGGACAGGTGGAAATCATCCTGCACATCAGACCTGTCTTCTCCCTCTCATCGTGATCTCACTGCAAGGTTTAGCTGCAGAAATGTTACAGTGCAATGCTACAAACCTTGGCTTCCTTCTGTAGCAAACTTGGTGCAAACCAGCTGCTTACAAGCAGCATTTGTTTTTGAGAGAATGCAGGAATTAATCATGGATTTGTCTCCTTTCTAAAACCTGAAAGTGTTAATATAGCTTGGAGATATCTATTTTGTTACTGTTTGCTTTGTGGCTGACGCTCTGTGTGTGTGTAGCCTTTGATTTCACATCGATCTGATGGCAAGGAGCCATGGAAAGGTGCAGGTTTGCCGTATACCTTCCCTGTCCTGGCTGTGTGTAACCACCTTTCTCCCCTGTGTTTTCTCTGCTGCTTTTCTGATCATACCAACATCAGCTTAATTTTCTGGAAGATTAATTCCCTTAAGTGACGTACGTAGGGGTCAATTCCAGTTTCTGGAAAAGAGAGGCAGCTCCTTTCAGCAAAAGCTGTTTGTTTTATCCACGTCACTGCAGCCTGAGTGCTCAGATTAAATGTGCTTGTGAGTCTCCTGCCTGTTCCTGGTGTGTATCAATTTAATAAATTAAGCATCTGCTACAGTAGATGATGTCTGTCAAAAACAGCAGCAGCATTGGCGTGGGAGGTAATATCACCTTAGAATTCTGACAGATTAGTAAGTCCTGTGTCTGATTTACATGTGTGTAACACCAAATCAACCTGCACTGTGAGGGTTCTGTAGAGGATAATTTGGTTTGTAAACAGAAATGCAGTCTGCACATAAAGAAATCTGGCCTGGAAGATTTCACAAAACCTGAGTTAATGTTGAACTCAGTTTGTGTTTAAAGTATTCCATATATAAATCTGACACTGACGATTTTAGGGTTGGATGGTGCAGTCTTGATTTGAAGAAGATAAAGTTTGTTGTTGGTTGGGAGGGTGTTGGTTTCTCTGTTTATTTTTATAAAGTTCTTGTCACTATAGATCCTTTGTATATGCACTATTTCAAAAGTATTTATTTAGCAATAATAATTATGCCTAATTTGAAATAGGTTTTGTGTAGTTTCAGGTTGTTAAGTTTTTTTGCTATAAATTTAACATTAAATTAACTAATCTTCCTGAAAGATTGTAGTAAAGACTGCAAAAGTGGACAGTAGCAACAAGTAGAAGGAGGCTTTGAGGACTAATCTGTCCAGACACCTTTTATTTAATCTTTTAAGCTTTCTTTCTCAGCATAGCACAAAAAGCAATCTTCACAAATTGATTCCTGTTAATTCCAGATAAATTCTTTGTGGAGCTCTTGCTCTAAGCAGCAGCTTGTTCTAGATAAAGCAAGAAGGAATAGTCGCAGGAAGAAGAGGCCAGCTGAGGATGTTTAGGTATTTTAACATAAAACCTTAATAACAAAAAAAAGGCAATTTATAAAATATTACTTAAAGCCATGTTATTATATAAAGGAATAGAAATAAGTTGCATGTGTGTACAGTGATCAGATTGGAGTCTGGGAACAGGCAATCCCTATTGAAAACACCTGCTCTGTTCTCCTTGAGTGTGGAAATAGATCTGTCTGGATATATCCCCCCCCGAATGGTGGAAACCAGCAGATGTCTTTCTGCTAAAGAAATAGAACCATCTCTAAAGTCTGCTTTTGTGCTTTTTTGCTTGTGGCAGGGTTGCTCATCTCAAGTTGCCAGTGTCCAGAGTTACTATCGCCATTTTGGGAATACACTGAGAGGGCCTGGGCTGGGTTTAAATGAACAGGGAAGGAGTTGAAAGTCATGGCCTGGCTTTCAAGCAGTAAAGTCCTTCAGGGCCTGTGGTTTTTGTGAATGGCATTAAAGGAGAAGGTGGGAGGGCCGTGATTTCAGAATGAAGTCAAAGATGAAGTGGAGCATGGCAGTGGCCGTGACCTACTTATGCTGGGATGTGAGAGGGAGGCCTAAGAACAGCAGAGGGCCTGGCCTGCCTTCCAGGCAGTGCTGGGAGCCGAGCGCAGGATGAGCGTGCCTGCTCTTCCAGGAGGACTGAGGGAACAGCACAGCGATTCACACAGATCCCTGTATGCTTGTGTTTTGTTTTGCTTTCAGACCAGATGCTTTTGACAGGAAATATAGTGCAGAACTTGTGGGTTTCCTTTCCCAAGTATCTTCAGTATTATGTGTCACTTCCTAAATAATTCTACACATTTTATTGTCATCCTACAGCAGTGTGTCTAAAATAGGTTTCACACTACTGATGGGAAATGGCAAACTTGATTATTTTTTTCACACAGCTTTCTAAAGGAGATCTGTATGTTTGGAGTTCACAGAACTTGTCAGATCCACGACATTGGAAGTGCTTTTCACTGTATGATGAAAATTCATTCTCACAGTCTACATGGGGTTTTTTTGGTTTTGGAAAGCACCACAATGAAGTGTTAAACAACTTACTGGAAAATCATTACCATCTTATGTAAGAATGTTTGCTGATTGTTTTAGTGATTGTTTTCCTAATGTGTAGAAAATTGAGGGGGAAATCAGTTTGTTTTGAACTGTATGAGCAGCTTAAGTTGTTAAGCTGTTTTTATTTAAATTCAATATAAAGAGCACATGAAAAAATAATTGTTGCTTTTTGTAGCTTAAATAATTTATGGGTCATCCCCTCTTCCAAAAGTATGCTGGATATTTTTAGCCTTAAGAAGAAAACTACTCCATCAGTAGAATATTTAGAATTAGAGCTTGTTGCTCTCCTCATTACTTGGTGAGAAAGCTGACAGATAGGAATGGGGTTTAGGCAGCCCCTGTGCCCTCTGTGAACCAGCATGGATGGGGCAGTGGGATTGCAGTCAGGCTGCAGAGACATGCAGCTCGTGCACTGCAGTTCCCAAACAGGTTTCTGACTGTCACTGCCCCATACTTGACAACCTCATGTGATGTGCTGGAACACAGAAATCTCTGAGTTAGGAGTGCATGGGTACCTAAGTAAATATCCAGAGCATTCCGTGTCAGCTTTCCTCCTATAGACTGAATCCAGGAACTTTTCCCTCTGTGACAGCTCTGTCAGTGCATCCACAGCCAGTTTTGGTCAACAGCTGTGTTCACTTCTTTGTGAGCATGAAAACTGGGCTTTAGTCAGTACCATCAAAACCTGAAGACTGCAGACACTTAAAGCACTGCTGCCTATCTCAGATCCTTGAAATCATCATTGCCTTCAATTTCCTGGGAGTAGCCATAGGACTAATTCAAGGAGTACCTAAATCAGGGATACCAGAGTTGACACTGAGCACTGTTGCAAGCTGCATTTGCTTTGTGTCATGTCAGGAACTCCTGCCAGTCAGGTCAGTGCCTTCACATGAAAACATCAGGTTTGGGGAGCCTTGGAGAGGAGCTGCTGTGCCAGGAGCAGTTGGGAACTGGTGGCTGCACTGGAGCACCTTGGCTGAATCCCACACAGAGCTTTGCTCCTGGCACAGATAATGTCTTCTGGCAAATGGCACTCAGGTGTTTCATTACATGGTGACATAGTGCAGTAAAAGCACAGTAAAATAAGTTGAAGTGCTCTATTTAATTTTTTATGAAGATTTGAATTCCTCAGCTGAGAAAAAGTAACTGACTGTGCATGTACAGTTTGCTGTGATGCAGTGAGGAGGGTTTTATTCCCTTGACTTTGAGAAAAAGAATCTTATAAATTATTTTAATTCTGCACATTTTTATACTTGTATTTTAGCCATCTTAAAAAATTCAGTAATGTGATCATATATGTGTCTTGAAAATGGTGTCTAGTGATGCTGTAGTAATATATATGTACAGTATTGCCAACACCATTATAAATGAGGAAAGACTAGGCAGGAAAATAATAAAAATCAATCTGACTTAATTTTAAATAATGTGTTCTTATTCCTGACTTGTCAAAGTAAATGTGACAGAAATACGGAGTAATAAGAAATACTGTGTATTTTCCAATAATTCTTCATACCTCTGTAAAAATAAGCTTTTCTATTTCAGTTTTTTCTATTTCAGTTTAAGAGGCTTAGTTCCCAGAGAAATATTTTCATATTTTCAGAGTTTAAGTTCTGAAATGTTATGTTCATCTTTGCTGAGTTTCTTCTGAGGATTACTTATGGTTTCAGTAAAACCATACACCAGGTTGGTGTGTTAGATCTGTGGCTGGTGTTATTTTA